TATACTTGATTATTTACATCTAAATGTAAAACAACTTACAAAAATATCGACACTTTGTTGAAAGATTAATATTTATTTAATCAAATCCACATATTACTGTGTATTATTGAATACGAAAATTGCAAATAGGAAGTAATATATAGAATATATATATTTTTTAGAATCATTTCTTTCTTGTACTAAAAAATTCTTGTTCTTGAGAAAATATTGAATTTTTGTCTCAAATTATAAATTGAAACTGAACTGAACATTAACATTGTCAAAATAATCGTTATTTGTCAAATTGTTAACATGACATTTAAGAAAAAAACTATTACATTCGTTTCAAGTTTTATTTTTATTAGCACCTTGGAGCGTTGTTTACTGTGTTGTCAATATACAACGTGATGTTCTTGCCCAATTTTTGTCATCTTTGCGTAAAAGGAGGGTTACTTTTCTCTGGTTGTTTCTGATTTCTTGTAGCTTTCCACAAGGAATAATCTGTTGCTTTGGTGGGCGTCTTCAATTTAGATGCTGCTCTGTTTAACTTTGTTTTATCTTCTGGCAGTTTGTTATTTTGCTATAGCATTGGCATCGTTTCCATTGTAAGTTCCCCCAGGTGTTTCTGAATGCCTCTATCTTGACAATTTGGTAATGCAGCCTTCTGATATTATATATTTATATGTTGTTATGTTTTCACGCTAAATCTACAAATAATATCAACAATGGTTCTTTCTCTTGATTCACGACATTTTTAATATCAACGGTATGTCCTAAGCTTTCTATAATATCGTCCGAGTTATGTATGAGATTTTGTGTGGTTGTATTTTTGTTCCCGCATGGGAGCAAAATTTAGTATTGTAAAGAATTCTTTCGCATTTTCCACGTGGTTCATGAAAATTGGAGGGGTTTTTCCTGCATTTTAGGTACTTTGTTTATATTTAGTTGGTCGTGTCTTTTAGCAGCTGGTGAATATTTTATCGGTGTGTTTTTGTGTCAATTCAAACAAATTCAGCTTTTCACATTTAGTCCAGAGAAAACACTGAGTGGTACATATGTGTACCTGGAGTTTTGTCTAAAGACAAAATAAAGTCCTTAGGAGTTTTCAAAACTTATCGAATGTTCAGATTTTTGTAATATTTTATTGTTTATTTCTTCTGGGAGTCTGTTATTTTGCCATAGCATTGGCATCGTTGCCATTGTAAGTTCCCCCAGGTGTTTCTGAGTGCTTCTATCTTGATAATGCAGCCTTCTGATATTATTTATTTACATGTTGTTATGTTTACGCGCTAAATCTACAAAGAATATCAACAATTGTTCTTTCTCTCGATTCACAACATTTTTAATAACAATAATATCAATAACGGTATGTCCCCAGCTTTCTATAATATCGTCCGAATTATGTTTGAGATTTTTAATTATTTTCTTCTTTAAGTCCTTTCTATCCACGACTTTTATCGATAAACGCTTAATCTTCAAAATGTAAGTGTCAAAACAAATACAAACTTTGCTGGTATTTGTATACAGTATTTAAAATTCAAACAAATTCAACTTTTCACATTTAGTCCAAACTTCCAGTTTCCTCAGAGCAGCAAACTTCTTCCCCGACGTTTGGCCTTGGCTCCTCTAGAGCACCAACACAGTCCTTTTGGAGCACATAACTATAATCTGCTCTACTGGAGACCTGAACCGTCTTCCTTTGCGATTCGATCTCTCTCAATTCTGGAGTCCTCCTAGCGTTCAGGAGCGTAGTTAACTGTGTTGTCAAACTTACAACGTTACAATAATGTCGCGAGATATTGCGACGGCTCTCGAAAGGAAAAATAGTCGCACGATTCTGAATTTGAATTTATAAAAAGTGGCTGAAAGTAACATTTTTCAATTTGAATGTATTAAATTTGAAATTTAAAGGCTTTCACAGACAAGTCATCAATCCTATTGCCAAATACGACAGTACGCAGTTTCCTTTAACGGAGGAAGAAAATGTTGACTTAATTCTTTCTCAAAATCAATTGCATCCTTCTCTCTAATAAAATTATTATCTGTATTCTATGTTAGATAAAATAAAGAATTTGAAGAATTTATTTATTTTTATTGATATATATTTAATTTTGTTGTAATTTTTATTTTGGTGTGCCGCGAAATAAATTCTCCTTGTCTAGTGTGCCGTGAGGGAAAAAAGTTTGACAGACACTGCTTTAGATTAAGAAGTTTTGAAGTTAAGAAGACTATAAATTTTGGTTAAGTTTTTAAAAATTACCAAAAAATAATGTTTAGTTTATTGTTAATATCATTTATTATTCAATAACATTTTTTTTGTTTTTTATTATTTACAACAAGTAATCTATTACAATACAAAGAAAAATAATAAGCTTTAATTCTTGCTAAGGATAATGGAAATAAACAATATTGCAGATTGGTCCAATGACCAAACTACACTGAGAAAATATAAACAAATAATAAACAAAGTACATCACATTACATCAGATACGAGGAAGAAGATCGTGCGGTTGGAATCGTTTCAGTCTACGTAGATTGCCATCTGTGTTGTTCAGCTCTACAGCAAGTTGATTCGAATGATCCTCCAGCCGAAGACGATATCTGGTGCTGGCTTTTGAAATCTCTTCTTTAAAGAACGCGATATCAGTGGACTGGTGGATAGGGTCATTGGTAGTGAACCAGGGAGAACAGGTCAACTACCTCAACGTCTTTGACAAAAATCTCTTGATTCTGTCTATGCTAGAGTTGCATGCAGATCCCCATAGTTGAATACCGTAGGTCCAAATCGGTTTTATGACTGTCTTGTACACGGAGAGTTTGCGCGGACACGGTCTATCCACCCTTCATGATGAAAGACCAGGCCGTCCCCTGATTCACATCCGTAGGAGACTCCCGGTCATCCACATTGAACATTAGAACATAAACATGATACCCCGAAAAGCAGATGCGTGTTTCAACATTAAATTTGTCTATAAATCGTCTTTTCAAGCGCTGCAGCAACTCTGCGTGATTCTCTGCATTCTTTGGCGAGTTTATTCATGTTTAATATGTGGTCATATATTATTATTGCCCTGTGAATTCTTTTGTCCTGAACGTAGATATTTCTATTATCATTGATTTTAATCGGATTAGGTCAAGCAGAAATTGATACAAATGATCTGCTTGTTTTTATAAAATGTTTACTTCCTTCCTAAATTTATTTTTTTGTCAATTCACGTCTTCTTTCTATGTCGATTTCACTTTTCGAACTCTTACAATAGTCGTGATTTATAAATCATAGAAATATTTTTTTTTGTATCTTCACAACCTGCATTTGGCAATGAGTAAAATATTTGTTGGTCATAGATAGAAAAAAAAAGAAAACAAAAACAGAAAAACAAAATAACAAGCGTGGGGCGGAACGATTTCCCATCGGAAATCTATATAAATTTAACTAAAAACATAATTCTATGACAATAAAAACCCAACTAAAAATTGATTTTGACGACACTATGAAACTTAAATAAAAATATTCACTCTAATGGGCAATAAAACTAACTTTTAGTTTCTAAAGGGGAGGTCGAGAGTGTTGTGTCTCTTTAGTCTGTGGGGGGTGTCACTATTGTCTAGGAGGGATAACGAGAGACTGTTGGGGTGGTTTTCCAGTCTGTTCTGGTAACGGGCACTGAACTTGAGGATTTCACTCTTAACAGTGTTCATGTGGTGGTCGTTGTAATTGGCAGGGTGTTTGCTGCTGCACATTAACACATGTCGCTTCCGTTATCTTTAAATATTCCACGTCCACCAACGGGGTGAGAACCGAGTATTTTCTGTGTAAACAATTTATTACATTTTATTCCCTTTGGCAAATTACTTTTTGTACAGATTTATCTGCGATAAATCAACTTCATTCAGATATAAATAAAATCTAAATCAAGTCAATACGTAATAACATGTCTTTATTCAGATCATATACTTGATTTCAATTCGCTAAAGTATAAATAATTAAACCTCTTCAGTCTTCGACGATGATCTGCAGTATGTATCAGCTCCGTATCCAGTTGGTTTGGGTGATTCTCTAGCCAATGATGGTATCTTGTGCTGGCCTTTGCTATTTCTTCCTTGATAAAACTGATGTTAGCTTGCTTGTGGATGTCATCGTTTGTGAAGAACCATTGAGCACTGGTAATGTTCCTCAGCGTTTTGGACTGGAATCTCTGTATTATATCAATACTCTTGTTACAGGCAGATCCCCAAAGCTGAATGCCGTAGGTCCATATCGGTTCTATAATAGCTTTATACAGGAGCACTTTGTTTTCTGTTGATATGCAACAATCTCTTCCTAATAGCCAGTCCAGCTTCCTAGCCCTCAGATTGAGACATTTTCTCTTGGTTGCTATATGCGTTTTTTAAGTAAGACGTCGATCTAGATTCTAGATGTATGCCAAGGTACTTGGCCTCATTTGCCTGGATCCGTTTAAAAGGACTGGAGGACAGGTCTGTCGACGCATAGTAAACTTAGCGTCGTTGTCTATAATTCTTCACTTTTTTAGCCAATTTTCAATGTTAATAAGGCTGGCTTGAATATTTGTTCGTGAAGAGAATTATTTATAAGCAGATGTTCGAGAACCGAGTTATTTAATATTAAAAGAAAACTCCTATAATAAACTTTTACTAAAATATATTTCGAATAATGATTATTATTCCTTTCTTCTTTTTTTTCATGGAAACTAATTTAATTAAATGGAGCAATCACGAAGCTACGTCCATTAGTGGATTTGAGTAATTCTGTGGTGTTGGTATCAGGACTTCGCTAATTATTCATCCTTCTGTTTGTTTCTCTCCTCCTATTTTTTTTTACTTCTCCTCCCATTTTCTTCGATCTTTCCATTATTTTTTTTCTGTCATTTCTGCATACCTTCGAATCCTCTCTGCGCGCAAGTTCTTATCCATAATCACCGATAGATAACGATAAGGGGCACCGGCGTATTCCGATTTTGAGTCCAGTTTCTCCGCGCCGAACGCGTAAACTATCACCGCCAAAAAAGAAAAGAAAAAAACGTTTCTATTTTTACACAAATTTTCGGAACGCGAAAATTTCTCCAAATGTTTCCAACATTTCCATCGATTCTCGTGCTTGTGATCAAATAATTATGTAAGAGACAACGCTGCTGTGCGTTATATATCTACCTTTTATCTCGTAAGTAATATTGTGTGCAATTGTAATATTGTAATATATATTATATACAATTTATTTAAAGTTTATTATGTATGTTATGTAGTTATTTGGATTCTTGTAGAGAGATTAGATTAGAATCATTGTATTCTATTGATACTGGACATCTGACATATGCCAAATTTATCAACACTAAAACTATTATATGTAGAAAATTATTTGATACAATGGCACATTTTTACACTTTAGCTCATGAGCATGAGCTCATTTTGATATAAAATATAGTCATATTTAAAAATAATAAATTAACAATTATTTTGCTTACATAAATATAATCAATTAATAACAAATATCTTTATTAACTAACATAAACAAAGTTAATAACACTATCACATCCTTTTTCGTTTATTATTTTTTGTTTCATTAAATTCTAATATATTGTATATTGGAATATTTAAATGTTCTTAAATTTCTTTATGTTAAATTTCAAGAATATTTAGTTTGTGAACCGATTTGTTTGAGAACCGAGGTTCAATAGTATATTAAAAGGAAACATGTCTTATGAAAATTCATTTTACATATTTATATTATACATTTCCTAACAAATATCTTCTATTCTGTGCGTAGATATGCACATAAATTGACTTATTATTTAATAACAAATATCTTTATTAACTAACAACAATAAGTATTTTATAAACATTAACGAAACTAAACTAACTTATATCATTTTAAATATTTAATTGCAAAATTAATTAAAAAAAAATATTACAAACTTCTCGATTTAAAGAATCCAACTAACGGTTATTGCAACATTGCTTAGTTAGAATAGTAGTTAAGCAGTAATTTATGTGACATTATTAGTTAAGTACATTTTTTTACATTTAAAATAACTTTATTTATAAAAAAATAATACAGAGGGAGAATGTTGTTATTTGGTGGCGTATATGAGGGCATATCGCTCATTTAGCGAGAACAAAAATATGTTCATGTATAATCAAGAAAACAAAAAAAAGCTTAGATACTAGAGGGGATTACACTTATATACTAAAAGAATGAGAAAATCAGCAATGGAAAAAAATGAATACAAAATGATAAACAATGAGAAGCACTCAACTAGTTGGCAAGGTTTGGTTGGGGGATCCACATCTCTTCTTTGAAACCTAAACGATTTCTTCCATTCACCCGCGCAACGAAGGATCAATCGTCCAAAACAGTTATAGGTGGATTCCTGAAATCGAGTCAAAATTATGTTTTGATATATTGATTAAAATTATTGCATTTCGGCAACAAATCATATTTGTCATATGACAAATAATTGAAGTGTACTATCTTCAAATAAGTTTTGAAGTATTTAGAATCTATTTATTAAAGGATCTTCAATTTTTATAAAAAAAAAAATAAAATAAATTGTACAGTTTCATTATCTATTATTTGTATTTAAGTTATTTAGAGTCTTGTAGAGAGATTAGATTAGAATAGTTGCGTTTTGATGAAATTGCGTATTTAATGTATACGGAATAGAAAATGATGATTGATTATTTTCTATTAATATAACATTCCTGTTTTAAAAATTGAATATTCTTTATTATGAAAATTTTAAGAATTGTATATGGATATTATCTTACATATTAATTCATTAATAGTTAATGTATCAAATAAATAATATCTTTTTACAGTAAAGTCTCATAAAATCTTATAATCAACAATTCTTTCCTTTTCTTTTTTTTAGGTTCACAGTTTGTTTAAAAAAAATGACAGCTGTCAATTTTTTTGACATTATTGTCAACTTGTGTATTCTTGCTGAGTATTTAACGTTTGTAAATAATTATTATTTATATTCTTGTAATCGAGTCAACCATTAATATAAAATGTGGTAAAATGCAAGTGATCAATATTTGTGTATATGCACTAATCATTCATTGTTTTGACAACTCGATGAAACATTAGATTAGTTCAGATAAACAATTTCTAAAAAATATGACAACTCTCAAATTTAGTACTCTGCATTTTTGACATTATTGTCCACTTGTGGTGTAATCTTGCTTAGTATTTAACGTTTAGAAATTGTCGTTACTTAGATTTTTGTAGCGACATACACATAACACATATTTACATATATCCTCTGATCATCCATTGTTTTGGCAACTCGATTCTGTTCAGGTTAACATATTTTTTTATATAATGACAGCTGTCAAACTAAGTATGCTGCCACTTTTTTATAGTATTGTCAACTTGACATGTATACACTTATATCCTCAATTTTAACATTTCCTAAGTTTATAATTTCCTCCATTATTAACATATTACATACCAATCATTAAAATTATAAGATGTGATTGAATGAGTATATATTGGGGAATTCATAATTGATCTCCGAAAATATATTTTTAAACAGCAAAATCAATAGAATAACTAATAAACAACTGTTGGACAATATTCGACTTTATTCAATCACTTCTTCATTGGAGCCAAATTTCTGTCCCGTAAGCATTCTTATATTGAATGATCTCTGAAAGCATACTTTTGTATAGTAGAATTACCTGCTTATTATGCATTGTGTAGAAGATCTTCTAATTGTTAACTTTATCAAACAATTACAAGGATTTTTATAAATATGTACTGAATATAAATATTATATGTTTTGTGAAACAAAAAATCAAATTTATATTTTTTTCACTTTCACCGTTTTAACTATCATCGGAATCCATGAAAAACAACATATTACCAATTGTCACACAGTGCGTAATCACTTGAAGTTGGTACACCTGATTCAAATACTTGCATAGTTTTTCAAATGCAATTACTCTCACTTGTCATCCGAATTTATGTCATATTTATAATTATATGATAAAACTACAATAGTATTATTTTAGGAATATTATCTGATGCGATAATAAATTAAATTCATATCTACATATTATTATTTTTTTTATATTTATTATCATTGCATAATTACGATGAATGATTCATAGATGCGAATTGATTAACTATTATCACTATATTTAGTTTTAAAAAAATCGAAAATATTCGGTTTTCATACGATCTATACTTTTAGTCATCCGAACAAAACCGTTTATAAGCTGAAACATGCGTGCATAAATACGTGTACAAGACAGTAACCAAAATACCTTAGTTTAAATTTGGTTGCAGCAAATAAAACACGTATAACATACGTGAAATTTCTATTTATAAAATGTAAAATTGTATTGTTTTCAAAAAATATTTTATACGTATAACATACGTGAAATTTCTATTTATAAAAAAAGTAAAATTGTATTGTTTTCAAAAAATATTTTTTCTTTTTAATCTACTTTGTAAGTTATAGTTTAAAATTTAGTGTAATAGATTAAGTTGTATATTTATAAATATTTTTTTGCCTAAACTAAACACGTAACGTAATCGTGCGTTTTATCGATGAATTATTGATTTTAAATCAATCATAAATAAATGTGTTTTTTTCTTTATCGCAGGTTTGCTCACCTTTGGAATTGCGTACAACTTTGGATTATCTATCTATGAACGAGGACAAAATTCAAAAATTAAAAACAAAACTGGACAAGAAGTGACTCAAAGACACATGCAAAATGACTTGGAAATTGGCAATTATTTTTCAACTCTTCATTTCATTCTCACAGGTAAATAATTTAATATATTTTATTATATACATCAGTGTTTCTCAAAGTAAGCCTTGTTTATTGCTATCATTAAAAATGTAAATGTAATATAAGTGCAATGATTTTAGTCCTTTTGCATGATTAAGTCCTTAATCATCCTTTTAAAGATGACCATGACTGTCGATGATCAATTTGAAGTATGTACTTGACAACTTGTAAAAGTGCATGTATAACTTCGATATGCACAATCATATTCCAGTACTTTATCGTATTACTTGTGTAATTACAAATCATTTCTACGTGCTTACTTGACATATGTATACGGCTTTGACTATTGAAACTTGTCATCAAGTACTTTTGAATTGCATAATTGCAAGTACTTTACCGATTTATTATCAGATGTATTTTTTCCTAATTCATAAACATATAAGATGAATTACAAGTAGTTTCCCAAGTTGTGCATCTACTAATTAGTCAAAGATACAATTCAATAAATGATTTAGTTGACAAGTTGTCAATAATACTTGACAACTTGTACAAGTAATGATAGTTCATATAGCAACACCCGTGACACTTGTGCATCTACAAGTAATTTTACAAGCTTTATATATTCTGCATTATCTTTCCTAATACTTGACATTTACTTTCGACTAACAACTAACCAATATGTGAACATTCACAAAACTTGTAATTGCAATTGACAACTTGCACAAGTATTCATATAGTTTTTAACAATTAAATAATATTTATCTTCTATTACATTTTTTAATCTACAAATAATTTTCCAAGTTTTACACATACTTTTACTAACTTTTTTGATGGATCGCGAAATGGCAGCTGTCACCTTGAGTCAAAGCAAGGGACTTTTGAAATTGGATCGCAGCACAATCACAAACAAATGTGTTGTGCAACAATTTTAACATTTCTGCAAGTAAATTTTACTGCATACTTCAAAATTGAACAAAAAAATGAATGTTTTGTAAAATATAAACTGAATTATCGAAAATTATTTGTAGTTATTTTCTTAACACTTTTAATTATAGTAAAATTATCAAAACTCCATACGTTTACATCTAAACTAATATTGAATTTTGTAGTACAACTCTATTTATACAACTTATCAGTTTCATCAAAATAAATATATATATATGTAGTTTGCTTGAGCAGCTTTACAAACATTTTCTCGATTCACGGCTGTAATAGTAATATCTATATTTATTAGGGTATTCCCACAAAAAAAATTATATGCAAATATACGCAGATTGTGTGAAAATATGCGACATTTAAACTTTTTATTATATCAAATCATTTTCATGTTTTACTCTCTTAAAATAACAAATATAATGTTTCAGTTAAAATATAAATGTTCAGGTGAAAAGACTGCGGTCAATAGTCCTTTGTATGAATTTGAACAATAAAATATGTTGTGATGAAAGTCACTTTAAATTTCAGTGAAAATTTGAGACATTGAAACTTATTACTATCATATCATTTTCATACTGCTATAGTTAATTTTATTTTTCGAGATTTTACATGTTTTGTCTCCAATCAATTAGAAAACTCTTACATTCATAAACTAAGAAAAATATTGCGTATTCTCCAAACTTATAGTAAAATCTTACTCTCATAAACAAATATGATTCAATTGAAAATATCAATAAAAAAATACATTTATATCTTCAATTGTTGATGCAAATTGCAATAAATTTTCTGTCTTTTAAACTGAAATAATAAAAACTATTTGTCTGTCTCCATTTCCTTATATTCGGTTATTATTTAATTTGTTATTCGAAATATATTAGTTATTATTTATTATTTTTCTATAAAATGATCATGTATACAAATATTTTCATAAATCTTTATAGATTTTAAAATATTTTAATTAATTACATGCTGTCTCGAAGAATATGTAGATAAAAATTAAAAAAATGTTAAAGTCTAACGATATTTTATGTCAAATTTCAAGAAGATCGGTAATAAAAGTTAGGAGAAAAAAATAATAGGTCTTCCACGGTATGGAGCGCAGAAGCTGAAAATCCGCCCAGTTAAAGCAATACAGCAAAAATCAGCAACAAAAGTGATGATGTCGATTTATTTTACCAGGACAAAGGTGGTAGCTGCTATCTCACTAGAAACTTGTCAGAGGGTAACTACTAAGTAATAGACAGAAACTTGCTTACCACAACTTTTCAAATTTTGTTGTGTTACATCACAATCATGTGCCCACTCACACTACTGAAATAACCAACAACTTTCTTACGCTCTCTGGCCGACGTAGCGCCTTGTGAATTCTGGCTGTTTCCAAAAATAAAAAATAAAAATGAAGTAAAAAGTTTTCAGTTTCAATCATTAAAAGTTGAAAAGCTCCAAAAAGCCGATTTTGAGGAATGTATCTTTCAAAACACTGAGTAAAGAAATGTATTGAATTAAATGGAAATTTTGTAGAGAAATTACAAAAGGATGAAAATTAAATATATTAAAATAAAATTGTTATTATTTTTTTTTGTTTTTCCAGCCAACTTAGCGAATTTTTATTAGACCCCACGTTTATGTACCTCCACAAAAGACTACTGGTACATATATGTACCATGTACCCCCATTTCGCACTTACATGCAATAAATTATTTTTTAATAAATTAAGCATTTCAAGAAGGTATTCAGTGGATGGTACAAAAAATGCCTAATTACCATGCACTGAATGCCGTCTCGAAATGGGTAAAGTCCGTGTTTTTTTTTTTGTTCATTTCGACTTATTCTCTCTCATTATTATTACAATCTCAAGTCTACCGATAAAAAAAATCGTGTACATTTTATCAGTGAGAGCGTAATATAACAAAAGGACAAGTGATAATAAATACACAATGAATACAGGACCGTGCTTAGGAATTAATCAGCAGCAATAACTGTTTTTTTTTATATTATGGTCTTATTCTATAAAACCTCGAATAATGCGGCTTCGATCAATCCGGATTCATTATAGTACGGTTTGAAAATTTCAAAAGAGCAAAAGAGCAAAATACAGATACAGAAATGTATATTTTTAAACATTCTTTTATTCAAACAAGTCTCCTTTTTAAGTCCGGAATATTGGTTAAAACATTTATCCACACTATGCGAGGTAATACTGTATGTATTAGAATAAAAGAAATTATTGTAAAGAATCAAATTGAAGACTTCTATTCTAGAAGAACAATAGGATAACAAATTTAGAAAGGAAATTTCCTATCAAATTTTCCTGAAGTCTGTCCTGACCGCTTACGTCACAATTGATGGACAAACAAAATCGAATTTCACGGATCCGGAAAAGTCAAGTGCCATCGTCTTTCTCTGCAAATTAGTTCCCCCCTCTCCTATCCTCTACTTGCTCTCTCACTCTTGACGTATGTTTGTTCATTCTCAAATTGCTCATTCATTATTATTTTAATGCTTTATCACCTTTATTATAATAACAACATTTGCATTGCGCTATCAAATCTACATCTAATTCTGATTTAGTATGCCATTCATATGATTGATTCGTATTAATTCGAATACAATTCATACAATTATCTTCCTGTTTTTAGCAAGATAGCTCGACCACTTCCGGAGATGACATCAGTTCTCTATACAATGGAACAACGAATATTTGCAACCTATCTGCACTTCCGTTCCTCAGAAATGATGTAATCCATCTGAACATTAGCTGGGATTTGTATCAAGGTTTTTTATCTATATATGATAGATTTCTATATTTCTCGCTCAACAATTTCAGACAAAACCCGGAATTATTACTATTATTAGGTAGTAATATCCAAATCTTTAATTGAGTTGGTAGAACTACACTTGTTACTTCAATTTTTAAAATTATTTTTCTTTTGATGGTAAAGCTATGTCCTTAATTATAGATGAAACAAAGGCATGTCGCATCGATGTCTTTTATGGAGGACTACCGGAACCTTTCCACATCGAAGTCAATATGGTAAGTATTGAAATCATGGAGGATTCTCTCGTTACATAGAGTTTTTGGTAGCATGAAGAAAATTATGTAATACTTCCGGATACCAACACCATTTTCAAATTCAAACCGGGTCGAAGGTACCACATAGAATTTGGCTGCACCGACTGTGAACTGGATTACGTAATACCAGGTAATGTTAACAAGCAGAATGTAATACAACTTAACTTAAACGTAATACATTGTATCGACATCTTTTCAAAATCAATGTTTTATACAAATTCTAGCATGCTCATGTCACAATATGAATTCATTATTAAAATTTTATAAGCTGACAATAAATGTCAACTTTGACACCGTGCTCAATGGTACAAATTATTAGTATTATGGTAGAACCTTATATAAGCTGACAGATAGTGTAACATTTTGATTGACACTTTGATTGATAGTAGTATTTTTATCAGCATCATACTTCAACTCTTAGCATGAACTTCCCAGCAACGTGATCTTTCACATGACACTTTCTTTTCTATAATTATTACTATTATCATGCCTTAATTAATCTTCCCATAAATTTATAACCAACTTTATGTTAATTTGACACTTTGATAGTCAATGTATAATTGGTATTGTTAGGTTATAACTGATATGGTAACTTTGGCATAAGTTGTCAACTTTGACAAGTACTGACAACAAACGTCATCATTATTTTGACACCTTGAATGAATATTGAAGATATTCTAATAATCTATGTCATCTATACTTTGACAAATTCTCCATAGTTCATAGGTCTAGTATACAATATTATTTCCTATAAGTTTACAAGATACTACTAGTCTAAAATTCGTTACTGACATAGATCTAACAATTTCAGATTGCGTCGGAAAAGTATGCAATTGTCAAAAGATGAAGAGTGAAGCCAAGCTCGATATGAAGCAGACTTCGAGCGGACAGTTCCAGTTGAACTGGCTGCACTTCGGCCCTTACAAGCTGAGCAACGTAACATTTAGGTACAATAAAATCTGCTTCTGAAGGTTTAGTGGTAGACAGATCGTTTCAGGCACATCCACAACGACACGAGCACCACGCCGATCTCAATACCATACAATCCAGATCCACCAGAGAACGGCTCTTATGTGGTGGACGTCAAGTACGAGCCGGGTAATGAGATCGAAATAGAAGGCATATTCATAAACGATAAGTTCTGTCCAACATTCGCACTATCAAAGATAGTACCGGAAACGAAGACATGGATGGGGTACACACAGATGGCAATTCTTTGCGCGATAGTCTTCGCAGCAATCGCAGTAGCAATTTGCTATATCTCTGTGAGCCGCAGTACGAAATCTAACATTTTATTCAACAAAGTCCCAAAGCAAACGTAAGTTTAGGATAATTAAGATTGTAGATTTAGTTGTTTAATTGTTTTTCTTACAGCGGACGAAGGGCGGAAACTAGGAACGTCCTTTACGTTTCGCAAATCGAGATTCAGGTAAATATCCTTTTAAAATAAAAATAATTAATAACAAATCTATATATTGTAGCACGATGTGTACGAATATTCTTATGATAAATTGGATTTTATCAAGGAGATAAATTCAGGAGCTTTTGGTGTAGTTTACTTAGCGAAAGCCATCGATCTATACAGCATCAAGGGATGGACCTATGTTGCAGCTAAGATGCAGAAAGGTAATGATTGTAAATGTTTAATTAAGTCTAAACATAATTTGTTTGTGATGTGTTACAACATTCCAATACGATTTTTGTTTACTTAAAGTTCAATTTTGTAAATCATTTTTGTAGCTTTTCCGTTCATTACAATTATTGAACTAACAGATATTTCAAGTGAAGTTTTTAAGAATATGTCATGAAACAATACTTTCTTACTTTTATATATCAATTAAAGTAAGATTGACATAACCTCAATAGTTCATGTAAGGTGCCATAACAACAGAGTAACGATTATTTTGTGAGCTAGTGTTCACTTTTAAGACGAGTAGTGCGGAACCTAAAAGATTTGCATTTGTTTGTTAATTGTTTATACATTTCTTTTAACTGTAAATATTTTATGAAAAAAATGCGAATTTTGATCAATAGATGTCGCATTTTTGAGCTCGTTTGTAAATTTATATTTATACCTACGCCTTTCCTGGTCAAATTTTTGAATTTTTAGTTAAGATCGTACTTCACAGGATCATTTCTGTAGTATATCTTCACAACACATATCACAAATGTGACATGTATACAAACCACGATGACGAGTCGTAGTTCTGCTATCTGAGCGTGAGGCAGAAGTCTTTGGATTCTTCTGGATCCGAAGCTTCATCGATGACCGTTCGCTTTATTTCTTTGAAATTTAGTGAAGGATGGTAGAACATTCCGAGTGGCTTTTTTGTTAAATCTAAAAATATATAGTTTGTAATTCTTCAAAACAATTCTTATGTTAATTACACGTGTTACAGTTATAGAAATTAAAGGTTTTGCAATTAAAGCTCTTGAGGTTTAACAAAAACATTGTAATAACAATAAATTGTTATAAATATTTTGTTCGTAGATTGCTCGAATCATGAGGAACGCGAAGATTTTCTTAACGAAATCAACACTATGAAGAAAGTTGGTTACCATCCGAACGTAGTAAGATTACTTGGTTACTGCAGCAATGAACCTCGTGTAGTTATAATGGAGTATATACCGTGCGGAGATTTGAAGCACTATTTGCTGGATTTGAGAGAATCTTGGGATAATCTTCAAAATAATGTTGATCCTGTCGTCGCTCAGTAAGTGATGAAATTGAATCAATCATAATTAATCATGTATTATTACCAATACTTTTTTTTATATAGAAACAGTGATTATTCGTACATTAATTTTGAGAATAGTCCGGATTCTGGTTGTAACAGTTTGATGAGGCCATCTACTAGTTGTAAGATCTAAGTAAAATGTATTTAACAATATTTGATTTTATGATTATTTTTATTAGCCCAATCGGAAACCATGAGCGAAGAGCGATCTCCTCTTGTCAACAACTTCCAACACTCATTGGAGAAAATCTTGGATCATACTGAGCTCCAAAACTTTGCGCTTCAGATTGCTAAAGGGATGGCACATTTGGAAAAGATTCCCATAACTCACAGGTATAATATTCTCAAATTTTAAAATAATGTCTTTATTAGCTATTTACTAAATTTATACTATTAAAAAATACTTATACATTCATTTTGGCTAAAAGAAATGTGAATGAACTTTGTTTTCTGTCATAAAAACTATTAACACTATTCAGAAAATATTTCAATGATTCAAATTAAAATTCAATGTAATATTTTTTCAATACTAGCTATAATCCGTTCATCTTTGATTTGCAAATTCATCTTTGGAAATTATTAATAAAAACATTAGAATTAACAAAATTTTGGTTTACCAATTCAAAATCTGGAACAGTTCGGATTATATAGATGTTTATACCGCTTTTACCGATTTCCTTTTATCTGTAATAACATGAATGAAACATGACATTTACAACCATTGTTTTCCATTATATCAATGCATTTAGCAGAAATAAACCAGATAAATTTGTGTTTTATCTATTTGATAAATAATTTAATATACTAATAATAATATACGTGTAAAATACGAAACATTCACTTATATTATTTGTTTATGTATGAATTCAGGAAATTTAACAGAATAATATTCATAATTATGACCAATAAAAATTTGTATTTTTTTAAAATTTTAATTAAAAAATACTATAAAACCTTTGCAACGAAATAGATAAATAGATAAATTGTAATGTTGATTTTACTATTAACTATGAAATGTTGATATGAAAATGCGATTTTGGTAAGTATTTACAATGTATTCAAAGACTATCAAACTATTGGTGAAAGTAGCAGTAATAATACAGTCGTACCTCGATGCATTCCACATTACTTCGTTTAGCTTTACTTCGTTTTCCAAAGTAAAAAGATTATAGCTATTTCGAACAAATAAAAATTTTATAAAATAAACATCAACTATATATAAGTTGAATTGACATTTTAAAATAGACTTTTTGTCCATCTTAACTTTCATTTAACAATTTCCTTCAGACATAACACTTCTTTTTAAATCAGAAATATTTTCATTTAAAAAAAATCAATGTGTTTAAAGTTCATTGGGTTCTTTCTGTGAAAACCCAATGAACTCAACGTCTGCATTAATAAGATTTTTTCGAAACGTCTAATCTGGATAACTTTATTTCTAAATTTTGGTAGTTACTCTCTGCATTTGGTACAACTTCTAGCTTGAAATTGCGGACTTCATTTCATCAAAGCTTTGTTATCAGACCTAACGTTAACCGAGATTTGACTATACATCAGTTGTATAGAAAAACTTAATTCTAATAAAAGATTAATTCTGTTTTTTTTAAAATGATTTGTAGTTAATTGTTAAATAATTCTTGTTGATTGTTTACCAATAAACTGTATTATTGACTTTTTGAATAAATTTTGGCACCAACTTACAAAGTTCATTATCAATTAACTATGCACATTTATGCGTAAATTCTTTATTTATTTAGCAAATAATATCATTTAAATATGTTTTTTTCAGAGATCTTGCAGCTCGAAACGTATTAATCAACGAATTCAAAGTATTGAAGATCACAGATTTCGGGATGTCTCGAAGTGGAACGTACATCAACCAAAAGTCGAGGCGAGTGCCTTTCAGGTGGATGGCCATAGAATCCATCGAGGATAGCTTCTATGACAACAAAAGTGATGTGTGGTCTTTCGGCGTTGTTCTCTGGGAAATAGGAACTTTAGGCGCATTTCCTTACAAAGAAATCCCAGACCAAACGTTGGTCCATAATCTTTTGAAAGGACACCGATTACAACGACCAGAGGTCTGCACTGATTATCTCTACCAATTAATGATGAACTGCTGGGAACACAACCCCAAGAACAGGCCGACTTTCCAAGAACTCGTCCAATTCCTGGACGTGAAAAAGAACAGGGTTTACGTCGATTTTGCACAGATCAATCCGTGCTACATATTCCCCCCAAGTACACAATAACGTCGTCTCAGAAATACTTTGATGTACATCAAAATGCTAGTCAATACTTTATCTTAAATTTAAGTAAGCAACAATAAATTAGTTAACAAACATTCAAATCTTTATTTAGATAAAAAATATATATATGTAAATATCCATGTACATAAATCCAATTAGATTAATCCATTGAATATTTAGTTGAAATAATAAATTAAACGCTTGGATCTCGAATACGCCTGAATACAGCCAAAAACTTGTCCCCGTTATTTCTCGTCACTTTCTGCCCTTCCTCTGAACTACTAAACAACTTGTCAACAACTGGATCAGATTTCTACAAGGAAAAAACACAAAATTAAGACAAATTTTCAATAAACAAAGCAAATTAAACCTTACCAATTCTTCATCTGTAATTCTGACGAATAAAGGATGTTCCTCAAAATGTAGAACCATCCATTCATGTAAATCTTTAACATCAGTCACAGTATAAACAATACCGTCCTCTCTCAGAACATATGCGTATTCGGCTAATAGCGTTTTATTGATGATGCGCCACTTGTGCTTTGCTTTCTTGAAATGTGGGTCTGGGTACAAAAAGAACATCTTTTTCAGTTGGCCTTTCTTGAAGTAATTTGGCAAATATTTCATGGCGTTCGTCCTGAGACAAGCGACGTTTTTGTAAACATCAGGGTTTTGAATTCTCAGAGCTGCAATGCGATCCATCACATAATCAGAAACTTTCACTCTAATTTCCATGCCAATCATCAGGCTTTCAGGAAACATTGGGGCTAGGGTTATGAGTAACCCACCATAACCGCAACCAATGTCTGCGAATTCCACGCTCTTTTCCCCTTTGTTTGGGTAATACTTATCCCAATCCATATCATCAGGAGTCTGTGGACTAAAACAAGACAAATATATGAATAAAATGACAAAAAAAATTACTATTTTCATATACTTACTAATCAATGCAGTGATCCGCTATGGGATTCGAGTGAGCCCTTTGTCGGTAATACCGTTTTTGGGGTAGATTAACCAAATCACCAACCTCATCTTCCTTCCCCATGTTTACTAATACTAAAAATTAACCTGAAATATTTAGCATGCTCTGAATTTTTGACAGTAAAGTAGTTCTAATAAATTTAGCTTCAATAACTAAATTAATGTTTATCCAATATTATGTAATATAATGATCGATTGTTTATAATAAAAAGTTGTTAATATAATCAATAATAATCATTAACATAAGTAGTTCAATCTGATTAGCATCAATCAATTTTATTCAAAGTAGTTGGCAGTAGTAGTTCTAATAAACTTAACATTTAAATATAACTTTATTCTGTTAGGAATCAATAATTAATCTAACTTATAAATTACGAAATTTCTCACATCATATCATAATTATTACTATCGCGATTATATATTCACTCGGTCCCTGTGATTATTTTCAAGTGGTTAACCTAAAATAAAAGTGTTTTTAACCTTAAAAATGATGTAAATATTATGCAAATACTGAGAAACCCTAAGTATGACTGCAATATTTAAAGCGAACTTACGATTATGCGGCAATATTAACAGGTATCACTGTAATTTGATCCTAAAGGTACACTTTAATATAAAAATTACCTCTCAAGACATTCCTAATGTTCTCTTCTTAGAAATATGTTAACCTGACAGCACCAGTGTACAGCTCTGTGAATGCTGAAGATTTAGCTAAAACTTTACCCGACAAGCCAAGTATAGTTCCACAATGGAGACCCACACCATCAACGGACCGTACAAACTTAATCAATCATTATCTGAAGCTGTCCAAGATCAGACTTACAAGTAAGTGTTAAGTTTAGTTTATGAATTGGTGAAATAAGTTTTGAATGTTTTTTTTTAGCTTTGGTGGTTGTCACTTCAATGGCTGGTTATGCTGTCGCACCAGCTCCATTCGAGTGGGGACCTTTCATGCTTTGCATTGCAGGCACAGGTCTGATGTCAGGTGCTGCAAATGCTATAAATCAGTTCCATGAAGTTCCTTTCGATGCTCAAATGTCCAGGACTAAGTCCAGAGTATTAGTTTGTGGAAGATTAACGTAAGTTATTCATGATTTATAACAGAATAATATTGTAAAACATGTTTTGCTTTCATGAATGTATTAATTCATAAATTTGCTGTATTCATTGTTACAATTGAGCTAAAGTTTAATTTAAGTTAATAATTTTGTTGCAGTCCTTTGCATTCAATGCTCTTTGCCGCAGCAGCTAGCGCCTCAGGAATCGGTATTTTATATTACGGAGTGAACGGATTAACTGCGTCTCTTGGTTTAGCTAATTTGATCCTTTATACTGCGATTTACACGCCGATGAAGAGAATGAGTATTTTGAACACCTGGGTTGGTTCTATTGGTGAGTTCACATTCCAATCGAATTGGAAATTCTTCTATAACATTGAATTCTAGTTGGTGCTATTCCTCCGTTGATGGGTTGGGCCGCTTGCGCCGACAGTTTAGGACCCGGCGCTTGGTTGATGGCAGCTTTGTTATACAGTTGGCAATTTCCCCATTTCAACGCGCTTTCTTGGAACTTGAGACCCGATTATTCGAGAGCTGGGTACCGTATGATGGCTGTAACGGATCCAGCGCTCTGTCGAAGAGTTGCTCTTAGGCATACAGTCGCGATTTTAGGTTTATCTGCGATTGCTCCGATGCTGGATGTTACGAATTGGTGGTTCTTATTGGAGACGGCGCCCCTAAACTCATATTTTATTTATTTAGGTACGAAAGGTTTTAAGTCATTGAATTTTGCTTGATTATATTTGTTTTAGCTTATAAATTCTACAAGGATTCATCGAGCGCTTCGAGTAGGAAACTGTTTAGGTATTCGCTAATTCATTTGCCGCTGTTGATGATTCTGTTTCTGGTCAATAAAAAGAAGTGGTTTGCGTTTGATAAGAGTGAAGAGGAGAGTAGCGAAGCTGTAGATGAGCATCAGATTGAGCAGAATGCTGCAGAGCAGAGTATAAGATAATTGTTTTAATTTATTTTTAATTGTAAATAAATAAACTTATAAAATATTTATTTTTTTTATCAATGCATAAAATAGATTGATTATATACGTAACCAATAGATAGTAGCAATTAAATTACCTAATCTTATTCTTTCTTATACTTACAAATTACTATTTCTGTAAGCAACAAAAGTATTATTTAGATCTACTATTATTATAATATTATTCTAATGATTCTTATAATAATAATTATTATTTAATAGTCTTTGACGGGCCATAAATTCCTAATTTTTTAGACAACTGAATCAACATTGGATGGTATGGCCTTTCAAGATTCATCTCTTGACATATCAACCAAATTAAATGGTAATTCCTCTTTCCTGTACATTCTAGAAAATTATAATAATGCTTCACTAGGCATGTTCAAAAGGTGGGACAATGTATGTCCCATCATCCCTCAGAGTTAAATTACATAATCACAAATATGTACATTAAGTTGCATATATTGACAATATATATAGGGTGGTTCTACTACGAAAATGTACAATTTTTAAATATCCTTAAGTTTAGCAGTATAAATATTTAAATGTTACATTAATTAATTAAACCACAAGCCGCGGGCTGCGTCCGGCACTCTTCTAGTAAAACATTGTATAATAAATAATAGAAGTATGAAGTAACAACTTCTTTTGAATCATTTAATATTCATTTTATTCCTTCTTCGTGCTTTTTCCCTCTTGGAAGAGTCTCTACCATTTAGTTATGTCCTGTCGACTCATTACGCCAGTCGCAATCTGTATAATATATTTTTAAGGATAAGTGGAATTCGAATCGGGGTCCCTGAAATTCTGCGGAGATATTTGGGGAGACCTCGAAGTGGATGTTCTTAATTATTTGTTGTTATGTATTATTATAGGGAAGTATGCGTGGCGAAAAGAAAGTTGGCTAAGACTTTAAATATGTCTGGATGATTTTGCGGCAGAAGATCGTCTATGGAAGTTGGCAACTGAATGTTCATAGTAGAGATGGTGGACAGTAGAATTCTTGTAGCAACTGCATTGTTTGGACATCCAAACAGGACTTGGTTGACGGTTCTATGAAAGTGGTTTGTAGCGAGGTTGTGTTCAGAACGGAGCCTTGCTTAGAGAACACACTTGAAACTTCTTGAAGATGCTCTCACCCACGAACCAAGGTTTCACCCCGAACACTTTGCTCAACTAATAATAGTATTTCTCTATTATTGCACTATCACTGTCACTGAAAAAGAAGTCTTTATGAGGGATTGATTTTCAGAGGGTCGTCGATGGATTGGCCTTCATTTGCGGTGACTCGGAACTAATATTCATTTATTATATTTAATAATTTATCCCGGCCTTTGAGACATAGCTAGGAAAGTTTGCCTATACCTTTTGTATATTCTGAAAGTATTTGAAATATACTGAAACTTTTATTACTAATCATCTATTTAATATTTTATTAATCGATTGTAATATAAATAATAAGACATAAATAAAACTTCAATTGAAGTAATAAATTACTTTTATAATCAAAACTAATAAAAAAAACATATTCCAATCAAGATGTATGTTTATAGTGTGAATATGCACATACACCGTTTTTCATATAATCATTTTTTTTTAAGTTTCAATTACAAAAAATAACAAAGATATAAAAAAAGTACAGGACAGAAGGTCTTCAAGCCAGTTTGTATAATCATTTGTTACATTTTGAGAAATAAACTATATATTCGTTAATATATTCTCTTTACATAGTTATTAAATAAAGTTAATTATAGATTTCGTTTTTAATATAGTAAGGATGAAAAGTGATTTTTTTTCTGTAATTATTTATATTATTTTATGATTGGGTACATGCATCACATTGAATAATATCATAATATGACAGATGTCAAATCCACTTTATTAATTCTAGGTACAATCCATCAACTGACATTGTACTGATAATTGTATGTTAATCGGATATTAAATAATCATGTACGTATTGTCGAACAAACGTTAAAAGTGATAATACACATTTTCGAATTTGATTTAGAAAATAAAAAATATTCAATAATACTCTATAATTACAGTCTTTCAAAGTTATAAATATAGTCGATTCCGCTTAACCGGGACACATAGGGACTAGTACATTTTGTCCAGATTATGCGACTGGCCCAATTATCGGAAGTTCAATTTTCATTTGTTTTGTTTCCGTTCTTACAATCCATCAATTGACATTGTACATTCGTACCTATAATAGTTTGATCCTAAATAATCATGTACGTATTATCGAACAAAAGTTAAAATAATATACCTTAAGTGATTCAAATTTGATTTACAAAATAAAAAATATTCAATAATACTTTAAAATTACAGTTGATTCCGCTTAATCGGGACACATCGGGACTAGTACATTTTAAGACTAGCCCAATTATCCAAAGTTCCATTTTCATTTGTTTTGTTTCCGTTCTCTAGGATTTGTCCCTAATAAGCGGTTATCCCGAATAAGTGGAATCGAATGTATATCGTAGTAAATATTTGAAATTGATAAATATAGTCAATGCTCAGTTAAAATACACAAATTACTGTATGTTATGTGAATATAAGTCAATCAGACTTAACAAGAATCATATTTAACAATTTATAATTACAGAATTTATGAAAGTTATAAATATATGAAAGTAAATAGTTTTAATTTGTAAATATAGTCAACACTCAGTTAACGTACATATTGTACTATAAGCAAAGCGAATGTACCTCAATCAGACTATGAATTACCATATAAATGCATTCGCAAGAACGGACTTAACATTCTTAGAAGCGTACAGTAATGTACTTATTTTAATTTGGCCGTATTTTTTCACTTGTTTTAGATAAAAACAAATAACTTCATAATATGACAGATGTCAAATACACTTTGTTAATGCTTCGTACAATACATCAACTGACATTGTACGTTCGTACCTGAGTTTGACTCTAAATAATCATGTACGTATTATCGAATAAACATTTAAATAATATACGTTAAGTGATTCGAAATTGGTTTACAAAATAAAAAAATATTCAATAATAATTTATAATTATAGTCTTTCAAAGTTATAAGTACAGTCGATTCCGCTTAATCGGGACATTGTACGTTCATACCTGTAGTAGTTTTACCCTAAATAATCATGTACGTATTATCGAACAAACGTTGAAACAATATAAAGATCGAAAATATACATGTTAATACAATTAAAATAAAATATTTTCCAATTTGATTTACAAAATAAAAAATATTTTATCTAACACGCTAAGAATTTAATAATAAGAAGAAATAATAATGAATTAAAATATATAAACGGTTTTCATAATATTTGCAATATCTAAGTAATGTGATTAATTTTTACTTTCAATAAAGATATTTAGTAATTAATTTTAGTTTATTGCATAAAATCCTGTTGAGTTAATTAATTGGACTTAGTATTTAACATTTATATTAATTTTCAAATAAATACATTGATTTGTATACCGATATTTTCTTTAACATGTATGTAATCTCTATTTTAAGGAATTGTAAGAAATATAGTAAGATGAATGTCTTATATGTATAAGAAAACAACTTAACTTTAGCATAGAATTTAAACCGTTTCCTGCGCTGAATGAAAAGCATAAGTAGAGTGAGATTATTGGTTTTCTGGGAACGCTTAGGAATATTCATATTTCTGCTCAGCAATATTTGCACATCTGGTCTGGTGGAAATTGGATTACGGGAGAGAAAGGCGAAGAAAAAAATAAGTAAATTTTCCGGGCGATCAGTTAAATCAAGCGGCCCCCGGTACTCGTCCTTTGTTTGCCCTACACCGGAGCAGAAAGGGAGCCGCCCTACGAGCGTGAAATCACGGGCCCATCCTCATCCCAGAGACGGATAGAGACGTTTGCTGCAGATTCAGAAAGTTAAGTTGCCTATTACTAATATGTAAATGTAAATAAGGCGTTCAATGGGCACCGATTCTTTTTCTTCTCTTTGGCCCTTCTTCTAAAGAGTCCCTTTTCATTTAGTTTGCTGTGGAAGAATGATGGAGAGGGATGAGGTCGGAGGGGGGTAGGTGATCGATCGAAGATGCGTGGAGGAGTGTTGTGTTTGTGGCGAGAGTTTCCAGAACAAGGACATGCCGAAAGACGGGGATTATCCGGGTTGGGCTCAGGACGCATCGCCGACTCGCATTATACAAACGCGCGCAACGTACGAGGAACAAATAAAAATGGGAATAACAACATCTTCAGATAATGCTTGTAATAAAATGAATGATGATCGTGATAATAGGGTGTGGGTTACCGAATTTGGACCACCTAAACAGTTTTTTTCTTTGAAGAAAATACGTACATTTTTCAATTACTTTACTATTTATGAAACTACTAAAGTATTATTTATAACGAAAATTGAAACAAAAAGTATGAATTTGCTTTTTTGTTACATTTCTTTTAAAGAAATTTCAAGTGATTACTAAATTATTTTTTATTTAATAACTTATGATATTCTTACATTTCTTACAATATACATACACGATTTTCCGTAAAAATAATTTTGAATTTGAACTTTTAAATTTGATTTTTTTATATTTAAAATATTACTATAAAAATTACATTTTCTTTCAAATAACGCTATTTAGAATGTTGAAATAAATAAAAAATGAAATGTATTTTATCGGTCCAATCAAAGCAACTGGTTTCCCAGGATGGACTAACTTAATTTCAATTATTTTTTTCGAAGAACAATTTAAGCAATAAGTACTTTTTGGTTTTTGCATTTAGTTAAATTACAAAACTTCTCTAATGTTTGTATTTGTCCCATAAGTTTTTTCTTGTTGAAAATTTCATGACTATTTATTTATAGAAACAACTGAATTATAATTTGTAAGTTGTAACTAAATTGTAAAAAAAATGTAGTTTAGTTATTTTTTATATATATTTTGCTTTTATTAAAATCAGCTTTTATTAATTTCATAGTAAAATCATTCATTTCTTACTAATGTAAGGCAA